AAGATATATTACCATTTGGACTGAATTTATTTGTCATTACAAAGTGGTTTAAAATGTTAGGGACCAAGTTCAAGTCAGAAATGCAGAAATTTTGTGGTTCATCTTTGGTTGTTAGGGTAACATAGTCAAGAAGGTTGTACTTGGTTGGACATTTTATTTGGGGGTGGGGGGACAGATGCTGTTTCAAAATTTCAGTGGGTAATGGGTAATCTACTCTTGGAATCCTGAGAAGGTTAGATAATATTAAAATAAATTTTAGAGAAATAGGCTAAGGGGAAGTAAATGGATTTGACTCAGGTTTGGTCCACTTGAGGATTCAGGTATCAACGATGTTAAACCTTCAGGTTCTGTTGCCATTTGCTTAATTTAAAGAGTTTTCTTCTTTACTTCTTAATGGTTGAAGTTTGTTCATCTTTCAGGTGCAGTTTGTGGTGACGTACATTGCTCCCTGGCAGATAACATGGGGTTCTGCATTTCATGCATTTGCTCAGCCATTCAGCGTGCCACACTCGGCAATGTTGTTTCTGCAAGCAGCTATATCAGCAGCCCTTTCTACACCTCTCAACCCTTTTTTGGGTAGTGCCATTTTTTTGGCATCGTATGTTCGGCCAATCAAGTTCTGGGAGAGAGACTACAACACGAGACGTGTCGATCATTCTAACACCCGGCTCTCGTCACACTTAGAACGTAATCTGGGAGCAGATGACAACAATCTGAATTCTATCTTTTATGAACATCTGACACGTTCACTGCAGCATTCCCTCTGTGGAGACTTGATATTGGGTGAGTCTGGAGTTCGTAAGGAGCTGTTGTTATGTATAAAAGGTAAAGGCAGATTTCTTATGTTAAGACATGGAACTCAACTCATTCTTAACTCTGGTATTTTTATGTTCTTGAATTGGATGAAGATAATCCCATGTACTTGTCAACTGGACTTTACTGTTTGATTTCAGGTTCTCATGGTGGTGATGGGTATTTTCTGGGTTGTTGCACCATGTAGTCTGGTTGATAAACTTCTACCAGGCTGCATAGTGCTTCAAACCAAAAGAGAGCCATCTTCAGATTTTATTGTACTGACATGTTGTTCTCGTCTTCGGAGGATGCTTGGGTCCAGTGACTGCTTTTGTTCTAGATCTTGCATCACAGTAGCTCAAATTCTTCTTGTTAACCTCCACAGGCCGCTGGGGTCCAGTGATGCAAGGAGACTGCTTTGTGCTGGCATCAGACTACCTCAACTGCCTCGTTCACATCATTGAGCTTGGCAATGGACTGGTAACGTTTCAGATGCGTGGCCTTGAGTTCCGAGGAACCTACTGTCAACAACGAGAAGTTGAAGCCATCTCTGAGGGTGTTGAGGAGAATGATGGTGTGTAGGATCTGTCTGAGACTAGGAATGAGACACCTTTTGGGTTAAAATGTGAAATTGAAGTGTTTAGTCTTTCCTGTCTTCTTAGTTTCACTTCCATAATATTGTCCTTATTTTGTGTCTGCGTTTTATTCCCCTTCCTCCTTGCATTCTGTTCCTTTATTTCTAATGGCTGAACCACTGAAGTCCGTTTGTTTCTAGGTCATAACATAAGTGATTAACTATTGTTGTGGTCCTTTATTCTTAAACTTCTTCTAGTTTTCTAAAATGTAATTGTTAAGAATTGTTACATTGAATAATGGGTGGTCATGAAAGATTATTTGGGAAGGAAACCACTAAAACCAATGTTCAAAATAATGAATCTCTGGTGTGAGATTTCAGTGTGGGACCTTGCCTGTGTCTTCCCTTTTTAATGCCTGACAGTTCGAGGTGGCCGTTTCTCTTTTGTTGGATTCGTAGGATGCTGCTGTTGTGAACCAGGGCACTTGCCTCACATGCTTAGTATGAACGCCGCATTCAGCCAGCGTTGGCTTGCGTGGGAGGTGACGGCTACCAAGTATGTGCTTGAGGGCTACAGCATCTCGGACAACTCTGCCATCTCAATGTTGCAGGTGTTCGACTTCCGCAAGGTTCTCATCACCTATTATGTTAAGGTATGGACCACATTGTGCTAGGAAGATGTTTTTCACAAAGTAAAGTTAGAACTCTGCTACAATTCCACTGACACAGATCAGCTTGAATCTGAAGTTGTGATTGATGTGTGAGCATCGTACAGTGTACACACCCTAACACACAAATTCACATATTTATGGTTCTTTTATTTTGTCAATATGTTCACAGAGCATAATATTCTACGCTGTCCGTTCTCCGCGCCTAGATGAGTGGCTGAGTTCTCCTACCATTCTTGATGCACTGCAGCCAATGCTGGATAAGAATTTTGTTGATCTCGACCCTGTATTCAACATGAATATTGATGAAGACTATGACTTCAGGGCTTCAGGAATCACACGCAACAGTTTCTGCAATGTATACATGGAGTGGATCTGTTTCTGTGCTGTTAAACGCAGCCAGGTAAGCAGATGCAACCAGCACGTGGATACTTTGAGCACTAACTCCAAAGTAAAAGAAAACGGATTGATGTTCACATGCTTAAGGATTATGTGTTTGTATAGATGTCAAGGTTTTCTTGTGTTTAATCTCCTTATCAGTATTAGCTGAGGAGTTTGGCATTTAATTTTCGCCCTGTGCAGATATTTCTGTAACTTAATTACATAAAGAAGCATGCAAAATGTGTAATTTGGTTTCAACCATGTAGCCTCTGATTTTTCAATGTCTTGGACTTGATGAACTAGATATAAATCTTGACTTTCAGTATTCATGCCTTGAGTTTAATGTATAAATTCACTCCTCTGCTTGTCAAATCACGTCCTTTACAGCCCATTCGCTGTCCTTTGCAAAATCTATACAAGGGCTTTCTAAACCATCCCAAAGACATCAACCTTGAAGATGGCAAAAACAGTGTTTGCCAAAACATTAGAGAACCTTCAGTGTTCGACTTTGCATATTCCCAGAAGCCAAAGTTAAGCGCGAGGCATTTGCTATCTTACTTTAAACTCTGTTCATATCCTGTGTCTACTCTTCCACGTGCTTTTGCCTTTCTACTTCTCTCTCAGGATCAAAGCCTCCATTGTCTATTGATCCACATTAAGCTATAGGTCGCCACTCCAGGTCATCATCTGACTATGGGGACAGCTGTGCCCCACGAGTTTCGGAAGGTTTATAAGGCTTTAATTATACCATATTCAGTCTTACCAGTTGAGACTCTGGCACATGATTGTGTCCTGAATAACTTACATTTTGTTTCAGCCGCTGATTATTGAGAAGGACTCTGTGCTAGTGTCTCTGTGCTTTGCGCTCAGTTTGGTTGGACGACGCACCCTCGGAGCAGCTTCGCAACATAATACTGTTACCAGGTGAGGATAATCACAGGTGCATAGTTTCTGTTGTTTTTTATCCATTTGAATCTTCTGGTCTTCAACCAGGGAAAACTGATGAACATTTGAAAAGTGCTTGTAGATCTGTAATATAGTTTCGAGTATTGCGTGTTTTATTTAGTTTATTTTTAGTTCTGTTTCCGTATGTTATTCAGCACATTTACTGTGGACATAAACTCTTTGCTTGTTTTAATGTTGCAGCGTCGAATTCTTCCTGTACGGATTGCACGCCCTCTTTAAGGGAGATTTCCGCATCACCTCCGTTCGAGACGAATGGATTTTCTCTGACATGGAGTTATTACGCAAGGTGGTGGCACCAGGAGTTCGAATGTCTTTGAAACTGCATCAGGTAAGCCATATTTTTGCATTGATGTGCACCTTTCATGGTTTAAACAATGGATTTTAAGAACAGTGTTTATATTTTGCAGGACCACTTCATGTCTCCAGATGAATATGAGGAGCCATCAGCCCTGTACGAGGCCATCTCGTCACATGAAGAGAAGCTGGTTATATCACATGAAGGTGACCCAATGTGGAGAAATGCTGTCTTATCAGGCACACCATCACTTCTTGCTCTCAGGTATGGCATTCTAACTAACCACGGACACTTCAAGCTTTTGTGTTGACCAGGCACGTTAATTCAGAGCAAGAATCCGATGTTTCACAGACGCTCTGTCTGCATCATTGGTAAGTGGTGTAGTGCGTGACCACTGTTTGTCATTTATATACGTAATTAATGCCCCTTAGCATAGAATGCTGCTGGCTTGCATTTATAAGATTCATACTTTTAAGAGAAGTGTTATCTCAAAGTAATTTATGTTATAGGCATGTCCTAGATGATGGCACAGATGAATACAAGATAATCATGTTGAACAAGCGCTACCTGAGTTTCCGAGTTATCAAAATGAACCGAGAGTGCGTTCGAGGCCTGTGGGCAGGTCAACAGCAGGAACTGGTGTACCTTCGCAATCGAAATCCTGAGCGTGGCTCTATTCAGAATGCTAAGCAGGTCTGTTTTGCCACACTGTATTATATCTTAAGTCTTTATGAAGTGTTGCGTCATTTTGTGTGACTGGCTAAGGCATTTCTATTTCAGTTTACAGACTTATTATAAACATGTATCATGTTCACTGTTTTGTTGCAAGGGAACTAAAATTTTTGTGACACGTGTTTGTTATAATTTATGGCACAAAAGTTAAAAAAAGTCTAAAAAAATAATTATTTTGTTATAGCATATTTTAAAGATTTGTTGTTGAAATTTTATTACATGTTGTTTAGTAGATGGAAATGTGTGGAAGACACTTTTTTGTCAGGACCTAACTTGAGTAGTTGACCCTATATTCTCAGTACTTGTAGTTCAACTTATTCACAGTTAAGCTGCCAGCATTACATCATTATGAAGACAGCCCTGTGGGATATTGTGCCATATAGTCTTGTAGAAGTTGACTAATGTTTGAGTGGCAGTAAGCACCTCTGAAATGTCAGTAACCTTCTATGAGACTACACTACACAACATCACAGAAGGCCGTCACCTACAAACTTGCTGCCATGAATACCTGAAATCTCATAATATCAAATGATTTTTCTTTGAAAAGTATTACATTTTACGTCAACTTTCGAGATCTGTATGCGGCTTCCCGATGCCTTACCTCCCATCACAATCGGGTTCAGTGTCGTTCCAGCAATGTCGTGCAAATTTTTAGCTTTTCTCTCTATTCCGACACCACCTCCCAAAAAAAAAAAAAAGTGGTGTTAACAGTTTGAGAGTAACTTTAACCTTAAACAGGGGCTTCTGCTTTATGAGTCACTTTTTTATTTTGTGTATTTTGACAGGCATTGCGCAACATCATCAACTCATCTTGTGATCAACCAATAGGCTACCCAATCTATGTGTCGCCTCTCACCACTTCGTATGCTGAGACTAACGAGCAGCTCTGTAGCATTGTCGGAGGTTCGCTGAGTTTTGAGGCTATTAAAAAGACTGCCATTACGTTATGGAGGAGGTGAGTCCCATTGTTTTTGGCTCTAATCACTTACGTGCAAGAATGTGTGGTATGTGGTGTTTTAATTTTTGAACTGTGTTGGCAGGGTGCGGCAGCGGTGTGGTGAGGGCTGTTCTAGTGGGGGGTCTGTCCCTCAAGATGATGGGGGATTTGGAAATGAGGGAGTCTATGCTATGACTACCTGCAACATTCATTCAGGTATGCAGTGATGTATTATAGACGATGCAGAAATTGTATATGCTGTGTTAAAGTACTGTGGTTTTTATAGGAGCCAGAATAAATTATCTTTGGGTTGGATTACGGGGGTACTGTTCCTGGCAGGCTAGGATTTTTCCCTTTGCAACAACATCCAGATCAGATTTTGAACCTACCCAGTTTCTTGTCCGTTAGGTATGAACCAATGTTCCTTCTTTGAGTTTGGGTGGTGGAGGCAGGAAGTACTTCTGAAATGTCAGTAAACTTGTATCAGACTACGCAGCAAAATAATCTAGAAGACGGTCATCTTCATATTCACTGCCATGAGAAACAGCAATCCTTTGAGTTTCATCACCAGACAGTTATGATACTATATTGTGTTTGTCTCAAGGGTACACACCCCACCCCTCCAGTGGCCACAACACTTCGGGTAGTCAGTCAATGGACAGCGGTCAGATCGGAGGTAGCGTAGGAAGAGGAGGCTCTCTGGGGCGAGGAGGTACTCGAGGCAGTATCGTCTCGGTGGGGAAGCCGTCCTCTTCGACTCTGGCGAGTCTTGCAGGGCTGTTGTCTGCTGCGGAGTCTGGCACCAAGGCAGAGAGTTCTTTTAGTCAAGGTGTCCACAAGAAGGAAGACAGGGAGGTTGATCCTCCAGAAGGCAACCTCACTGCAGACAAGGAGCCAGTGTTCCAAAGGGTGCGGGTAAGTTTGTGCTGCCAAATTTACTGTGCAATGAGCATATTAATGGTGTAGTGATGCTTTTGATGTTTAAGTTACCTGAGAATAAACAGTCTTCCAGCAGTGGGAACATTTTCAAAATGTCTCTTTAATGTTCTTTACAAATTATGTAATTAGCCTACTTTTATTGTTTTATAAGGAAATGTAATTAGTACTGTCATCATTTGTCCACGTGTTTGTCTCGGTAAAGAATTTTTCAGTCAGTAGACAGATTTTCGTGTAACTTAGTATGTGTGTCATACCACAAAGGACCACCCCCCTTTTTTATTTTTTCAGACCGCTGTCACATAATTTGTAGCCCTGAAATTTTTTGTTGTTAATGGATGTTTGAAAAAATTTGGAACTTCCTTTGAGGTAAAAATAATATCTTAAGAATTACAAACTTGGTTGTTGCTGTCATCAAAAAATGCACTGAATCATTAGGAGGAGAGCAATCATTTCAAGTTCTGCCCAGAGCTTTGTTTGATTTCTTACAGTTACTCAGAGATGTTTTAGCTCATAGTCCATTTGTTGATGCTGTGCTACAGAACACAGGACATGATTATGCCATGAATCTAAGATCCGCTGTTCCTTGTAATGTATTATGTATGCATTTTGGGGGTGTGGAAGGTGTTACAGACGTTGATAGTTTTAATGTCTCGTATCATCACCCTTATCGTACCGTGCTTGCAGATCCAGGACCCAAACCAGGTGTACGACGCTATCAACCTTGGTCGTCGGATTGATGTAGTCTGGCCTGATGAGAGGATGAGGGCCCGTGGCGGACGTTCCCACTGGCGGGACTGGTTGCCGGAAAAGGGCATGGAGGGGCAGGTGAGTGCAGATGGAGTGTTGTAGACTAGAGAAGTTTGTGATGTGTGGTAATTTTAATGGCTGCATCCTGGTGTGTAATGAGTGATGTCTCTGTCGCGCTGTCTGTCCAGCCGATCAACACCTTGGATCCAGGGAGTATGTTAATAAGACATGGAGTTATGTGACCATGTAATACTGCGAATTGTGCCTCGTGCTGAAAGTGTAGTGCACCGAGCTTATATTTGTGATAAAAGAAGGTTATGTTGACAGTGGAATTCCCCATATATATATATATATATATATATATATGTGTGTGTGTGTGTATTGTAATTTTTACATTTAGATTCGTAATTCTTGTAGGTAGTGCATCGATGGGTTCCATCTCATCGGGATCCCAATTGCAGATCTCACGTGGACCGAACCATTCTTCTGGTAAAAATTGATGACAAGTATGTCCCAATCGCTGAAAGTGGAACGCAAGACTTGGGCGCAGAAGTATAGCACAAGAGATTGTGCCGCCGGCACAGACATAGATCCAGGCTCTCTCACGTGTGAGAGTTAAACATTCCTACTTTGTATGCTACTTAAATGGTCACGTGTTCCTATGTGTGCCACCATATCCCTCTATGGTGCAGAATGGTAACTAGTGTGAGTATTATTGCATGTTGAACAGCGAGTGTTGCCAATGGCAAAATTTGAGAGCTATACCAAATAATACAATGATGTGTCATTATGGCGTGGCAAAACGAATTAACATTTCTGAGTGTAAATCAAGTATTACAGAACCACAGATGTAGTGAAGGCCATGCATCTCCTTATTCCCATATTCAAGCAACGTGCCCTGAATTTTTCCCCGTCGGGCACCACCACCAATCCATCTGTGGCGTGACGTTCGTCACGTAACCGAAGACAGTCTTTATCGACGACGATCGGCCTTGTTGTGACGAGCCGATCTGTCTGCTAAGAACGGTGGAACCATGTCATGTTGTTATATTTATAATCGACGGTAGAGGAGCAGATTGTTATCATGTATTGTACAGAGCTTTTATACTTGTAGATGATTTCACAGGATGCCTTAAGAACTATCAGACTGAATCTAATATTTAAATGGAAGAGATAATAAAACCTTTTTTATGCCATTGCAGACTAAATGACTACAGATATTCTTTAGAAAGTTTGAAACATATTTTAAGAATATGAATCAGTAATTCAAGTGGCTGTGTGTCAAAGAGCCTCTGAAACGATAATAGTAAATATTTGTGAGTGTTTTATTGCTTTATACCAGTATTTGCTTGTCACTTCTTTGTTTATGTAGGCGAAGTGATAAGATGCAGTCCGAGACTGTGATACGTACTGGCCGCAGCCTTGTCTTATTAATGTTGTTGATTATTTATTTATTTTTGCCGGCACTTGCTCCTGTGTTTTTTTTAAAGACTGCGAATGTTTTGTTGACTTATTCAAAATATAATTTATATATATTTTTAAATGTTTTATCAATACACCTCATGTAATATGTCCTAATTTTAAAGAGACTTTTGAATGTTTTCAACTACAGAATACTCGGGAGATCGGAAATGTGCGTGTGTGTTGGGTTCGGCGCTGTCTCAGTAAAAAGGATGCGCTCGGTAATGTGAGAGCGCCAGATGTGACGGTGGTTACGGCGAGTCTCCGATTTGCTGGCTCTTTGGGTCGGTTTCGAAATTGTATGTCTTTTGCATGATGACGGTGTGAAAGTTTGTGCGAGACTGTCGGCTTTTCGCGCGTCTCGTCCTCCCGCGTTGAATTCGGGACGGATCTTAAAAATGTTCGGCGTTGCGGCTGCTGCCAGCCATGTTAACGTGTAGTTGCATGACATTGAGAGATACTTTAGTATAAATACTTTTAAGATTTGAATTTTCCAAACTTCACAAAATAAAAATCTACTTCATATTATTGCTGCTTGTAGAAATGAGGAAGCGTAATAATCATGTCTATACTCTGTGCAGTCTTGTAAGTCCAGTATAGGATATTTATTTGTTTTGTGTCTGTAATAATTCGTGTCTGTTTCATTTGCGGTTTAGGTTGCTGAGAGAGATTAACCTACTCGTGTATTTTACTGCGGATTTACATTATAGGGAAGAGCTATGAAATTTGCGCCTTCCCACCGTTGAATATTTTACATGATTGTTGTTCATGATCCCATGATATTGGTGCAGCAACAGTAAATCATTCCATTTCTAATATGTACGGAAGGCAACTATTATTGGAATGTTAATTTTTTGCTACTTTGTCTCAGATTTAATGCTGGTGGGTTTATAGGCGCGTCAGCTACTCCGTCTATCAGCGTCAGATTTGACGCTGGTCTAAAGAACAGCTAAACATGTTTCTACTGAAAGGATCATTTTCACAATTCAAGATAAATACTCCCCACCTCAGTCGGAGAGGAATCGTCGTTTTCGAAACGGTCGTAGTTCGAAGAGAATGCGGTACTTGAATAATTTTCTTCTGTTAAAGTTATACCGTGTGAAATTAGATTTTTGGATAAAACACAATAAATTGCTTTATGAACTGAGACAAAGATGGCAAATTTATTAAATGAATGTGCGGACAGCTTTTGTGTTTCATGGTTTCAACTTCCATTTCTGCCTTTGTAAATGCAGGAAAAGGATAGAGCTGGTGTTTTTGAGTCTCATTGTCTGGCTTCTGTGTTTGAAAATCAAAGATTGTATGCAGTCTTAAATCATGTGTTACAGTAAGACCAACATGTAGGCGTAAACTACGCCATTGCTGTCAGGTGCAGTTTCATTGTATCCATGTGACAGTCCAGTTGATAAAATTTGATAATGTCTTTATTGAACATGTATAATTTTGACCCCAGTTGGATGACATTAATTACCTCTTTTCATGAGAAACAAAATACATCAAATCCTTGCCGATGTCTAAGAAGTTTGTAGTTTTCAGTGCAGGAAGTCATATTTTCTGTTACAAAATTCTAGTAACGCAGCAACCATTTTATTCCTGTGTGTCTGTACACACGAAATTATATTATTCCCTTTCATTTATTTAAAAGTTTTATGTGAGTTTTGGGTTTTAACTTTTCAGGAGCTTAAAAAAACAGTTGACTATTAACGCTTATTGATCTCTGTAAACGTTAACTTATTCACTCCAATGCAGCGCACGCTAAGAGATCAAAATAAAATGTATTTGTAATGCTGGAAATTTAATTGTGCTTCGGAATTAAAGCTGGCTTTACACATGTTAAAGCCACGGTCATATATTTTGGCGGAGTTGGAACTTTCACTATTTTAATTTTAATTGAAGGTTTAGATTTTGCAGTTAAACTCTGTGAGGTCACGTTTTTTCGCTTCTAAATTGGAGAAGTCTTTAGTGGTGATTGTTTTTGTAAGGTTTGAGGTTTTCACGGCGGTGAATATGAAGATTTCTGTCTTCTGGGTTGTTGCGCCGTGTAGTATGGCAGATGTTTGCCAACGTTGGTAAACATCTACCATACTATAGTCTACAACTGTAGTCTTGAGACTTGCGGGGGCGACGAAGTGGGGTGAAGGAGGAAAGATAGTGTCTGCCTTTAACGCTTCGGACTTCCTGCATTCCTTGCAAGTCTCTAGATTACAGTCGCGTACTGTACACGGCGCAGCAACCCAGAAGACGGAAATCTTAATGATTGTTTTTGGTTGTGGTTTTATGTAGATCCTTGTTCGTCACCTCTAGCGCTCAAGAGCCGTCCTTTGTTTCTGCAGAGAGAAAGAAGACTTGTGCAGTTGCTTCAGATGGTGATGTTGATGAAGGTACTCAAAAAGTAAATTTAATTTCATTGTAAAAATGTTATCATCTGTGTTTGAATAACCTGTGTGCCATGTTGGTTAGTAAAAAGAAATTGCATAATTTGTTCAGGGACAAGTTTGTAATGATTGGAAAAGTAAAAAAATGTATCGCGGCTGTGTTCTTCAACTTCTTAATTATTTCCAGTTGTAGTGTCTGTGTCACTGGTGTATACAGCAGATTTAAACAGAAAAATTGCTATTGAGAAGATAAAAGTGATGCGCTAAAGTGCTGAGAACAGTAAACAAAAAGCAAATTAACTTACCGATATAAAATAATGGAACCAGCTAGCCACAGTGAATGAGGAACTCAGAACTTCGTGTTTGAAGGAGGAATCTTTTAAGTACAAGGATTTTTCACTGTATTCTTTTGTTTGCAACTTCAGTGAATATCCAAGGAGCTGCAGCCTCATAGTCTGTGTACTTTTTGGAAATTTAAATAACCTGTTTTGAGGCCATTTTATGTGCCAGTTAACGAAAGAGGATAAGAAAACATTTTGTGTAACGTAACACGTGCTAGGAGAATGGTGGAATCTATTGTAACGTTTAACTGCACTGAGTAAAAAATAAATTTTTAAATGGCATTTCAGGTTTTTACATCATCATGAATGTAGATGCCTGTCTTCTGAGATGTTCTGTCGTGTAGAAATGACTGATGCTTCAGAGGCGATTACAGCCTTTGTTATCGCAACATGCTGCCCTGATGAAGGTTGCAGTAAGACCTCTGAAATGTTGGTCAGACAGATGCAAGAAAGACAAGATGAGAACAATGATAAGATGTACAGACTGGAGAATTATTGTATTCCAGAAGAGATTATTGTTAAATAAACCTGTATGGAGTATCCTATTTTAACCTCCAGCATCATGGGAAAACAACAGTAGCAGGAGAGGTTAAATCCTACATAGAAGCAATGTGTTATCCGAAACGTTAGTACATAGCCATAAAAATACGCGGCCAAAGGACCCAGAGGACCACAATGTAGAAACTGGTGTTGTTTTTCAAATTTGACCATGAAGAGTCTAAATGTGAATTTTCATTGACATATGGGACTGACAAGAAAAAATATAATTGGTTAATATCTTTCTCCGAGGTAGTTGTTTTGGAAATGTTCGACTTAGGAAAAACAAATTTATTATAAACCAAATGTTTTATATATAATCCAGAAGGATCCATGGTTGCGCAACGGCTCCTTTGTCAATTTCTCATAAGTTGGTGATTTGCCAACATCAGTTGTGAAAAACAGAAACCTTGATAGTATCTGGAATCATTTTGATATGTCAAGCGGTATAAAGTAATGTGGAGTAGAGATAATTTTGCGTTTTAACGTTGTGGACAGACTACCATAGCTTTCTGCAGTAGGTTAAGAGGAGTAGAAAATAAAATTAAGTAGAATATGAGTGGTCAAAAAGCATTCGTTTTGTTCTGTCGAACAGAAAAGGAAGCAGTAAAATAGGATTATTCTGTTTTAGTCCGCTGAATTTGGCAATAATTAAACCCTACTAATGCGCCGCTCATTGCCGTTTCTGTGAACTATGTTTTACGTTGTCTTTCATTTCGCTCTTTAGCAGATGTAAGGTGGGTGGTAGCGGACGTGTTGGTGTGAGTTTAGTTTGTACAAACTCACGATAAGAGACTTGGAAAGCAATATACTTCGCAACAGGGACGTCTCCATGTGGAATAAGTTGCATTGATAATCACAGGTAATTAATTATGTAACTTTCACTAAATAATTGCAAAACATTTGTTCACTTTTTGATAATGGACTATCTGGTTCGGTCGAAACGGTCGTTCGCCTTACCGGCCGGAGACCGTGTGTCCATGGGTGCCGACTTCTCGCAATTTCAGGGGGTGCTAAGTTTGGTGTTACAATTTCTTTTAGCAGACACACTCAAACGAAAAACGCAGCCGACAAGAGTCGTCACGAATAAAATAAGGAACAAAAAGCATTGAACTACATTGTGTTCAGTCGCCTCTGCTGTTCTTGAACGCCAAGAATCTTCTTAGTTAGAACGGCATTGACCACATTTCTCTCAAACTGTTCCACTCCAGATTAATCCAATCTACAACCTATTTCTCAAAGATCCATTTTCCTCATCCGTGTCCAAGACCCTGTGTAACATTTTGTAATCACAGGGAGTCGTTAGTCCCCCAAGATTGAGGAACACCCCTTGTCGGCCGTTCGCTGCTGCCCTCCATTCAAGTGAATTTCCTTCAGGTTTTCTGACCAAAATTCTGTATGCATTTATTGAAGCCTTCAGGCTTGTACCAAGCCATTATTTGCCCCTCATAAACGTAGCGTAGGGTAGTTTGCCGTCATGGCCAGATAAGTCACCTTAGCGGCGTGCGTATTGGCTTGTTCTCGAAGTTGCACAACGTATTTGACTACACATAATTTCACAGCTGGCGTATTCAGCTACTTGAGAAATGTAACAATGTACAGCAATACGCTCGATTGTAGAGTTACCCACTATTAATTTACGTGATTTTTTTAGAGTGGTCTGCACGTGCAAACTTAAGCGGACACGTAGAGGACGAACACTGTTTATTTGTGTCACCCTGTGCAGTCTCCCTTAGCTGGAAAATCGACCAATAGGATGACGTTTCAGGTCGACTGTTCTGTGGCCCGCTCTCTTGCCTGCAGACTGTTCATAAAGTGTAGAGGAATAAAGATATTAAAATAAACCATGCCTAACGAACTACATAAACCATAGTTCATGAGAAGCTTATAGTCACTTAGATGGCCAAGAAATTTGCCGGCTTTTATAGAACGCGAAGTTTCACTACCGTGAGGACCCAATCATGAGGCAGATGAAACCATTCCACACCCTCGCATCCTGTTCATACAAGACCCATTTTAATATTATAGTTCAATTTACTGCTGGCCTCCCAACCAATACCCTCTAAACACCCCTCTCCTCCCCCGTGCGTGCCGCATGTCTCGCCCACCTCATCCTCCTCGATTTAATCACCCTAAGAATATCAGGTGAGGAGTTCCATTCAATTCCAAATCGCCCCGACTTCCTTGGCCTTTCCTGATGGCATATTCTAACGCAAAATTGAAAGGCAGCGGCGATGGAGCATTTCCCTGTTTCAGGCCACATTGAATAGGAAATCTATCGGACAAATGCTTACCTACACGAATTTTGCAAGAGGTTTCACTTAAACACATTGTAGTTCGCCTGACGAGCTTTCTAGGTACAACACATTTGAGCAACATACTGTAAAGAGACCCAACCGCTTTTGGTTTTATTATTTGGATTGGCAGTTATGCATCAGCGTTCGTTACCTTTGAAAAAGTCATTCATTGGGGCGGTTAAAGGTTTCATATTGCCTGTTCTCGAAATGTCATCCAGAACATTTTTCACGAGCCTGTACTAGACATCGGCTGCTACTGTTAAGCCTGACATCTGTCGGATGAAATGAAATGAAGGCTCGTAGTAACACTGCGAATCGACCAATCACGAGCGGAGTTGGTTAATTGTGTGGCAAGTGCAAACTGATCTGGATGTCTTCGCATTTCAGAACGTAAAAATTCGTAAGTATCTTTGATTGGGGAAATTGCAAGTTTACATATTCTTTCATACAAGTTAAATACAATCAAAAACTTTACATTAGTTATAATTTCGACGTAATTTGTGTGTTATAAGGTTAGAAATCTGATGTTTGCTATTTAGCATATCCATCAACATGGAGAATTACTTGCAAAGTTTATCGTCATTTTGGCGCTATTTTTTAACGTGAAAATAATTAGAAATATGAGGTACTGTTAAATGAAGAAGTGTTTCAGAAGTTCGTAAGAATTTTATTGCCAAATTTTAAAGCAATTCAGAATAGGAGGCTGACCAGAAAATGTATAATGCATATGAAGGGGTTCTATAAAATAAAACGAGTCATTGGACAAGCTCATAGCCATTTTGATTTTCCGATTGTGTTTTGTTGAATTGTCATGAATATTAACAATTAATTTGAATTATAATATAATACGTTAAGAATCCAGGTGATTTTTAAAGTGAATAACCAATTTATTTTCTAAGTTTTATTTGTAAACTTTTAGTTGCTGGCTGTAAATCGTATAATTAATATTTATGATTTATTTTTAAAAAACCATTAGTGCCTCGCTTGTAAATTTGTAGCCATTTTGAATCCTGTTTTATGATTGGAAGCCATTCGTATTTGTTACTTGAATTAACAGCAGTGAAATCATTCTGAAGGCTAAGCAGTAGCATGGTAACATTTGGATTAATTTCCATGGGAAAAATTTGAAATGAATATGTTGGAATATTTAAATAATCTGAAAGCAGCGTGACGAACAGAAGTGCAGTAACAAATGTTGGGAGAAATTTCTCGACTTGCATTCGGGACGAGCCAGGTTCGAATCCAGGATGCTACCTTTTGTCTTCGGTGACGTCTTCGTGAATTTTGTTATGGCCCCTAGAAGTAGTTCACGGGGCGTGGGAATGACTTGGGATTGTCATCTCCATTTAGTATACATGCTGCCACTAAAAATGTATACACATCACAATACGGAGGATTAACTTTGTGTGGAAACATGTTTCTGTGACCATTTCTGCAGAATATTATTGCTTGTTGGTTACAAACCAAACCGTTCTTTGTTTTCCTATCTGAATTGGCAGTTTGCGTATCAGGATTCGTTAATTTTTAACAAAAGTCATCCATTCTGGCGTTCAAAGGTTTCGTGTTGAATGTTCTCGAACATTCAAGGTCATGGAGATCATTTCTGGCGTGTCGGTATTATACATCAGGTGCTGCCTGACATCTGTCGGATGAAATGAAGGCTCATAGTAACAGTGCGAATCGACCAATCACGAGCGGAGTTGGTTAATCGTGTGGCAAGTGCAAACTGAACTGGATGTCTTCGCATTTCAGAACGTAAAAATTCGTAAGTTTCTTTGATTGGGGAAATTGCAAGTTAAATGCAATCAAAAACTTTGCATTAGTTATAATTTCGACGTAATTTGTGCGTTATACGGTTAGAAATCTGATGTTTGCTATTTAGCATATCCATCAACATGGAGAATTACTTGCAAAGTTTATCGTCATTTTGGCGCTATTTTTTAACGTGAAAAATAATTAGAAATATGAGTTATTGTTAAATGAACAAGTGTATCAGAAGTTCGTAAGAATTTCATTACAAAATTTTAAAGCAATTCAGAATAGGAGGCTGACCAAAAAATGTATAATTTATATCAAGGAGTTTTATAAAATAAAACGAGTCACTGGACAAGCTCATAGCCATTTTGATTTTCCGATTGTGTTTTGTTGAATCGTCATGAATATTAAAAATTAATTTTAATTATAATATCATGCATTAAGAATCCAGGTGACTTTTAAAGTGAATAACCACTTTAATTTCCAAGTTTTTTAATTAAACTTTTCGTGAGTTTCTTTGTTTATTTTCGTTTTTCCAATGCTTGGTTGGAGCTGCTACCTGTTCCTACATTTTTCAGTCCACCGTTCGCATCTTAATTTTTTTATAAGCTTCATAAAAGTACAATTGATGAAGCGTCATTAAATGACCACATAAAATGAGTGATTTTAACCAACATATGTAAATGGCCCGGGGAGGGGGCAAGGCGGCTCAGTATTCTGGAAAGCTGTTCTGCTTTCTCATTTGCATATTTTAATCTGCATAATGCACTTTCGGGTCTCCACCCATAAGCCTTTAGAATATATTTCTATGGGTACGGGGAAGCATTTCAAATATTTTCCGGATATTTATTATTCGAATAAGCGCGAGAAATGAACAGTTGTGGTGTTTCAGATTAGTAATATACTTTTGTATTTTGGTGTATGAAGGTACGAATATTAGGTATCTGTAATTTTTAATTTCTTTTTATCAAGGCCCCTCAGGGCAGATTATCGGACAACAGTGGCGTAAGAGTTTACAGATTAAATAAAATATCGAGTCTTTCCATGGGTTTTCCTGCCCTTAAATGCATAAATATGCACACATGAATTCAAGGAAATCTTCAGAAATAAGAAAAGGCCCATTAAAGTGTGGTGTGCAGTAAATTAAATATGTGGTACTGAATTCCGTAAAAATATCTTATTTTCATTCATTTATGGTTTATATAACGACGCTGTCAGCATACAGCTTTGATTGATATAAAGATAAATGATTGGAATAATTGATATGGAAGGAGAGGGATGAGATAGTATCCCAGCATTTGGTTGGAGGAACCGAGGGAAATAACGAAGAATCTGCCGGCCAAGATTTGTACCCACGTCAACACATGCATGAAATAGATGTTAGGTAAATGAGATGTTCTCTTGAGTAGCCATCTTGATTTATTCTACATGGTCTTGTGTTTCAGATCCGGTGTTCTGGCAGTAAACTATCAGTCCTCTGACTCGGCAAAGACTCGATCCACTGGCTCTGGAGAAGATGGAGCATTAAAAAGTAAAATCAGACCAGTATATAATAAAACAATAGCGAATAAGAAAGATTCCACTAGTGTGGCTGTTAGGATAGGTGGATATGACACTAAAGCTAATGCAGTTGATATGGTGTTGTTAAATATCCTACCAGGAAATAATTTAGTGTTGCGAATGTTTTGTCAAAAGGGAAGTTTGGAGAGGTCTTATACTGACTCAGAATCACTTATTGCAAAAAATTGTTGAAAACATTTGGTTTGAGGCTCGGTTAATAAGACTTCACAATAAATGAAATGATCAGAATGTGTTTGCCCTCCGACATATGGACAGGCATGAAAAAATTAAATCAGAGAAATTCTACATTATTTACAACCTGTGCTGAAAACTCTGTTGGCAATACTGATCATGAAATGAAAAATAATTACGAATTGCAAGGCCAGTTACACAAAAACAGATATAAATAAAAAATGTTCCAAGTTTTATAGTTCGTAGAGATTGAACCAAGCAGGGAATTATGTAATTTAGAGAATATGTAGGTTCATGTTTCCAAATCAAAATTTTATATGCAAATCTAGATGACAATCTGAATAGAGAAGACTTTTGTCAGAAATATTTGAAGCTATTTATTGTATTGGTTTGTCATTTGGTTCTGTTGTCATTCAGACAATGGTAACAGTAACAAGATTTGTGGCAACTATTAAAATGGTGTTGGAGTTTGTTACGGAAATTATTGATGTCGGTTTCCACACGTGGACTGTACAAATTGCCAATCTGTCTGCACAACTAACTTATTAACAACGCTAACATTTCTTTCTCTTTCGGGTTGTGGGTTTCCTTCTACATGCATGGCTGGCAAATACTAACTCTTTCTGATTTGTACGTCCACGTGTGCCCACTGACATCTTAAAACTCTCTTTTTTAAGAGAATGATCAGTATATTTTTCTATAAGATAATAAACTTCAAGTTTATTTGGTGTATTTAATAACATCACTGTTTCTCAAACTGCTGCTTCACAGGAATGAAGAGCATTTTCTTGTAACATGCCCACTTGAAATATTAGATTTACATTAGCCTGGACAAGAATTTGGTTACAGGACCAATTCTGAACAAATAATATTTGTATTTAAAAATATTAATTAAAATCTTAAAAGGGTAAGACCACAGAATAAAGAGGTGATGATAAAATCGTGCTATTCTTCTGAAATATGAATGGTAATTCCAGCAAAAAACAGTTAAATTTATAGGGATTGTTAACTGATGACCCAAAATTGACTTCAGATGATGGAAGCTCAATACTGAAACAGTTGTTATTTAACAATACGTACCAAGTGAGAATTCAAAACTTGTATCCTATTTAGAAATGTGATAACAGTTCATTAACATAATGCAGAGAAACTGAATAGAAATAGACAGTTTCTTCAACATTTAACAGAGAATAATATGACAGTAAAACTGAAAATAGGAAGAGGAACAGCTGACTGCTGCCAGTTGTTTTCAGGCGGGCATCGTGACCACGCTGCACTAGAGAGGGTTGATGTGTGCAGAGGTACAGTAGAGAGCAGAAGTGCACTAGAGTACAGTTGGTAAGAGTGGAGCACTAGTGTGCTGATGCCAGGAGATGTGCAGTAGAATGCACACATCAGAAGACACACACTAGAGTGCAGATGCCAGAAGATGTGCACTAGAGTGCCGATGTCAGGTGAATTGCACTAGAGTGCAGTTGGTAGGAGTGGAGCACTAGAGTGCAGTTGGTAGCAGAGTTGCACTAGAGTGCAGCTGGTTGGAGAGGCGTACTAGAGTGCTTATGTCAGGAGATGTGCACTAGAGTGCCGATGTCTGGTAAATTGCACTAGAGTGCAGTTGGTATGAGTGGAGCACTAGAGTGCAGCTGGTTGGAGAGGCGTACTAGAGTGCTTATGTCAGGAGATGTGCACTAGAGTGCCGATGTCTGGTAAATTGCACTAGAGTGCAGTTGGTATGAGCGGAGCACTAGAGTGCAGTTGGTTGGAGAGGTGCACTAGAGTGCCGATGTCAGGTGAATTGCACTAGAGTGCAGTTGGTATGAGCGGAGCACTAGAGTGCAGTTGGTTGGAGAGGTGCACTAGAGTGCCGATGTCAGGTGAATTGCACTAGAGTGCAGTTGGTATCAAAGTTGCACTAGAGTGCAGCTGGTTGGAGAGGTGCACTAGAGTGCCGATGTCAGGTGAATTGCACTAGAGTGCAGTTGGTAGGAGTGGAGCACTAGAGTGCAGTTGGTAGTACAGGTGCACTAGTGTGCTGATGCTAGGAGCACTAGAGTGCCGATGTCAGGTGAAAATATACGCACTAGAGTGCAGATGCCAGAAGATGTGCACTAGAGTGCCGATGTCAGGTGAATTGCACTAGAGTGCAGTTGGTAGGAGTGGAGCACTAGAGTGCAGTTGGTAGTACAGGTGCACGAGTGATACTCTGATGCTCAGAGTAGAGTATACTGCTGATGTCAGTTATTGTGCACTATTTTAGGATATGTGCACTAGGATGTCAATGTTAAGAGGGATGCACTAGAGTGCCAACATCTGGAAAAATGCAATAAATTGTTGATGGGCGAACTATAGTTCTGGTGTGAGGAGGGGCGCCCTTCTGTGACGTAAAATACTGTATCCTATTAATAATTGTTCCTTAAGAATGATGTAAGTTCACTGAGATAACGCGGAGTAAATCGAACAGAAATTGCCAGTTACTTAAGCAGGTTTGAAGTAAGAACATAAAACTGAAAATGGGAAGTGGAACAGTTGACTGCTGCCAGTTGTTTTGCAGGCGGGCATCGTGACCGTGTCAGAATCAGCCCAGCTTCATGGGACAGTTTGTAGCTGTGCCTCCAAGAAAGAAACGTGCTTATCATGCCTCCAGCAGTGCGGCTGCTGCTTTCCATCTGCGACTGACAGCAACACAGGACATCAGAGGAACTGAGGACCTCATCAAATAGTAGGACTGCCACAAGTTTCATTAGGGTACCACAGAACCAGGGCTGCGTAAACAACTATACCAGTCGCGGATGGTGAATTTGTAGAATGTGTGTATGTCAACTTCAGAGTATTGCTGCTAATGCCCTAGGATACTCTGAGGTTCCTCTGTTTGCCCCATGTACCTGAGTATTGCTGCTAATGCCCAGGATGCTCAGAGTCACGCGTCTTTTATATAAATTTGACAGCAAAAGAGAAAGTGAGAATCATAGAACCCAGAATGTTAATGTTTAGTAACCAAGCTAGTGTACGTTCATTCTGATAAAATTATTTACACTGTGTGAATAAGAGTTGTGTAACAAGCTCCGAGCTCCAGTTCCTCGTGTTGAAATGGCCGCTTTCCGAGATCACATGCCACTGATTGTTGCTGCAAAATTAAGAATTTACAATTTTCTGTCCCTGCATACATTCTGCCACCATCAATCAAGTGGCTGGAGGGTCTTCACTAACGTGTTCCACCAAATCAAGTCGGTTAACCGTCTAACTGGTGGCTGAAGATTTTCCAGTCTCCGTAAATATGATACATGTGCTACATTATGTGATTGCTGTCACATGGTGTTTGCTAGTTCAGAGAGTGTTTCAAAACTATGCCCTGTGAGAAGAATTTTCACAGTTGCTTTGCAGTTTCAACTGTTATTTTCAAATTTGTAACCAGTTCCATTATAAGAATTTGGTTTATTCAGGTTAGCTGGTATAGCTTACTAGTGCCAGGCTGTGGTACGCAAGTTGCAGCTCTCTCAAAGTGTGTTCTACTAATCCTGTTCTTTCTCTGTTTCAGGAGTGTTTTGTATTTTCATTGACTGTGCTTTTCTTGTTCTTGATGTTGTTTTGATAGTATGTAGAGTTAGCTGCATCTTGCATGGCAGTAACCCTAATCAGCTGACACAACCAAGAAGCAGGTCTTCAGCAAAGTAAACATTTGCTTGGACTGTTTTCTTTGGTTCTTTGACTGATGATGGGCTCTGTCTATGTGTATTTTTCTGCCATGTATTTTATGTTGTGATGTTGATCAGCTTTTGTCGTAAACGACTTCACCAGTTTGTTGTTAAAGTCAGACACAATAGTTAGAACTTGCAGCTGTTCTCCATCTTCAAAATTGTCACCCGTGGTGCTTTGGATTGTCAGGTTGTCGTACTGTGCGGGGTTGGGAGAGGGTACCAGGATGGTCAGAGTAGTTGCAAGTTCTGTGCAAGTTTCACTTGGAACTGATGTCAGATAGTTCCACATCACTGTCTGGTGAATGATGACTGGATGTGCTGAAATAGAGAACTTGTGGAGTCCCGTTTCAAAGCACATGGCTGCAGATTCTCGGAGGCAGATCGCTGTCTTGTAGCCTCATATGAGGTGTTGGTTCCTTGTGATGCCACAAGGAGCAATCTGTAGCAGTGATTTGGAATTCCTTCTTGAGCTCTATTTCGGATATGAGCCTGGAAATTGCAGTACTCCATATCCCCCCCTCCATATCCTGTGCCTCAACGTGGCGAGGGGGTGAACAAAGAATTATGCATGTGGTTGCATTATCGTGCAATGTCCGAAAGCTACATAGTGCTGGGGCTATGGTATAGCTGTATTCATGAAAGGGTGTGATAAAATTAATATATTTTTCAAGACTGTGTTCTGCCAAATATAATGGCAATGTGAACCCAGAAGTTAAGAAACTGCATATTTGAATCTTACGTGTCCTGATGAGCAGTGCAATGTGTACTGGTTGGACCGTCTCATTACAAACAGAAAGTTGCACATTTCTATTTAGATCCTGGCAGCACTTCTGCTGCTGCCAGTTAACAAAATTGCAAATTGCAAACGCTGTTGAATCTGCATTGTTTTGTTTATTCTGGAGATCTGACACTTGTGCGGACATGCACAATTCTTTGGCTAAAGCAGGATAAACAATGTTATATTTTTATGAGTACAGCTTGCTGCTTTCAGTTACAGGTAATCAAACGATGTCTCCAGCTGTTTCTTGCCTACTTAACTCAGCCTTCTTTATTTGTTGAGGGTCATTAAGTCATTGGCAGTTGCATTCAACGTTGGTTTAGTATAATTAGTCACAAATAAAACGTTGGCCTAAAGAATACACTTACACTTACGGTGAGCAAAGTCTAAGAAACAACACATTTACAGCACACAGAACATTCTTTTTCCTCGGTCAAGTGCTAACATGCAACCACCATGTGCAACATGATAAAGTATCGACATGGAAACGAGACATCGATATTTTTATCGATTCTTTAATAGGCCCTCAACTGTTGTTTGGTTGCCATAGAAACAATGGCAGCCGCTGCGTCGAATGTTATTGAAAGCAGGAAGTACGGCAATGCAGTTATGTATGGCAGGTAGGGCCTGGGTCTGACTCTAGTCAGGAGTTTAAACACGCAAATACGTAAGAACACGTAAGTTTCATGATATGATTTCGAACTTGTCTTTCGTCCATTATATTTCTTTCTTTTATCGGAGACTGTTTAATATGACGTATTTCACTGTGATATGCAGGTCTGTAGTGTAGACAAATTATGCTGCATACCGTTTCCTTTGAAGAACATTATTGATTCATGTCTGCAGGGTTGGGGTGCTGGACAGGATGCGGGTTACCTACTGCACAGATCTGGACAAGTCGGTGCTTATCTCAAACTTTGAGAAGCGGGGCTGGTCACAGGTTGGCCCTGAAAATGACTGGAACTTATATTGGTACTTAAAATATATGTTCTTAAGTGCATAGTATCTTATATTTGTGACATAAGAATATATGTTTGCATAAAATACATCTGAGGGATCAGATTTTGATGAAATTTGGTGCACAATATAAAATCTAAATAAATTAACCCTTTTTACACAGTCACAACAGATGTCAATAAGTATTTTCCCTCCATATTGTACCAAGGAAAGTGAGCCAGGTAGCTCAGTCAGTGTATTGACTGGCTATGGGCTGGGAGATAGGGTTTCAATCCCAAACAAATGCAGAGGATTTTCTTTAGCCTTTGCATCCAGACTGGCTTTGGGACCAACCCAGCCTCCTGTCGAATGGGAACCGGGGTCTCTCACTGGCAGTAATGCACAGCCAGTGCTTCTGACCTCTCCCTCCTTCTAGTGCCAAGGCTGAGAATGATAAGGAGCTATTCCTCCTCTCCCCTAAGTCATGTAACTGGATGGCCGTGCTTACCATACCTCAGAATGGATGTCATAACATTACAATTATTTAAGTTCAGATAGATGAAACTTTAAATTTTCAATGGATGTATGCATCTGGATATGTTGTCTCTTTAAAAAATGAATTTGCCATAGCAAATAATCACAGTTATTTATATCCTGTGATAGTTGTAATGGCAAAAGTGCTAACTTTGAGAACTTGGTCTGAACATTTGTAATGAATCTTTCAAAAGAGTTTTTTTTTTAAATTCCCATAACCCCAGGCTTCTATTTAAAACAATAATTTGTTGAAATCATTACTTTTGAGGAGATGACAGGACATAAAACTCACTTCACTTTGTTGACAATTCAAAAAATATAAATAATTTGGTAACCCTGCCTTCAGTGTGGCTTTATTTGTAACATATTTTTATTTTGTTTATGCTGACTTTGTGCTCCTCAGTCGTATGTCTGTTTATTGCAGGGCTGGGACCCATACGTGTCGCACACTTTTTAGTGTTGACAGTGGCTATAGAATGACAGACAACCAGTGAGTAACAGTGCTGCCAGTACCTAGGGCTTCATTGTAAGATTTTCAACAAAATTTGTGTGTTGTATAGTGGCGGATGTGTTAGTAAAGTGGTGGACTGTGAAGTGGACAGCCAGATTTCATCTGACAGTAGGGGCATTAGGAACCTGTTCTGCTTCACCATTATATCAAGATGAACTGTGGTATCCTCCCAGCTGTTCCTCCTTTTGTTTAAATTGAGGCGGAGGCTTGTAAATTTTCTTGACAATCACTGGTCAAATGTATATGGAATTGATCATAACAACAGAATTTTTAAAGATTCTTTCAGTTACTTGGGTCAAAAAGAATATATTCTATTTTCATTACTCTCATCATCCTGTTGGAATTAATCATACTGAGAAATATAAACTGGACTTGTGGCCTGTGGTATCATTGTTGTATTTATAAATTCTGTTATCAGAAAGTCAGTGCTGCACATTATTAGATTGTAAGATTATTTGGTTGCATCCAGGATCATCAATCATTTCCCAAACCACTATGAGCTGTCACGCAAGGATCTGCTTGTTAAGAACATCAAACGCTATCGCAAAGATCTAGAGCGTGAGAAGGACCCGCTCGCAGAGCGGGGGGAAATTCCAAGTCGTTACCTACATCTTGACTTCATCCCAGTCACCTTCGTGTTACCTGCAGGTAAGCTTCCATCAGATGTATCACTCCTGTCTCTAGTCTGCCAAGTCCTCGGTACAAACATTATCCTCCTTAAGTATATTATTTAATACTGCATTTAAAAATGTTTAGCTGTGATTAATCAGTAACGATATTGTCCTCATTCCATGATTAATGTCTGGTTCCCATTTTTAAGTCGGGAACTATGAACCAGACTTCATTTTCAATGTTAGGCCTAGATCTTTAGTGAATCCTATAGCCTGAATAGAACATCTGTCATTGTGCAGACTATAACATGTTTGTGGAGGAGTACCGGAAGAATCCGCAGAGCACATGGATCATGAAGCCGTGCGGCAAGTCACAGGGGGCTGGCATCTTCCTTATTAACAAGCTCTCCAAGCTCAAGCGCTGGTCTCGTGAAAGCAAAACACCATTCCACCCTACTC